AGGGCATGGTCTGTCAACGGGGGGGAGCGACCATATATATATATATATGTATGCATGTATAGATGTATGTATGTATGTACGTACGTACGTACGTATGTATGTATGTATGTATGTATGTATGTATGTATGTGTGTATGTATGCTCGTATGTATGTCCGTATGTATGTCCGTATGTCTACTCTCACCGTTTTATGTGTAACTGTATTTCTCTTTTGTCTGCTTAGGCACTTAGCCATTTATTTGCCTGTTTCGGGTATTGTTTTAGTTTGTGGCTTATCATCCAGGTAAGTCTTATTGCATTGGGTAGATAGACAGACAGAGCGCACGCATTGCGTGCGCATGCTTGTTCTTGATGACACATTGCCTTCCTTGTTGCTGTCGACTAACACTTCTTGCCGGCACATGCGTTAGGTCGTTTCTTTCTCGGTGCTGATACCAGGGACTCTGAAAATTCGAGTAGTGTTGGCTCAAACATATCGAAGAAGATGCTCCTACTCAGTAACAATCTGTGGCGTCCCTTGACCCCATAATCGATCTACAGTTGAAGCTTGCCATCATAAAGATCCATGTATGTAGTTGTGTGCGCGTTTGAAGGTATACAGGCCAACATCGGTCCATGATCTGGGCCTGCCTGCGTGTTTAACAGCAGATGTAGCCCGGTTGTTTATCAAGGAGGTAATATGTATGGCAGCCTGAATATTTATACTGTTGTGTACCATTGCAATACTATTCCTTGGGAGTCCTTGTTGTGTTTCTAGCATACTACATGTATATATATATATATACATATATCTGTCTATGTACATACTCCAAAACCCTGCTCCAATCCTAAAGTCCCCATCGTAATACATTGTCACATCAGTGTCATGTTCAACCAGCAGTGTAAGGGATCATGATGGTGATCAACGCAGTTCCCTAAACCCTATAAACCCTAAACTCTTAAGCCCTGAACTCTTAAACCCTAAACTCTTAAACCCTAAACTTCCCTACACCCGAACCATGTCTGAGACTCCCAAGCCCTGAAGCACGAGGCACGTTCGCGGCAATGAGGGCAAGTTCAGCGCACGACACCTCGCCGTTTGCTTCCATGCATCGGCGAAGGCTTCTTGGGCCCTGTCTATAAACTGTGCATCTCGCTGATTCTTGATGTGAACAGCCTTTTTATGATGCACAGAGAGCTGAAGCCCCAAAAGGTCTTAAACAAGGAAGCCCTTAAACTCTGTGGACCATCCCCTTTGCATCGCCCTCCCTTCATCTGCTCTGTTGCATTCCTGGTTTGTTCAGGTATGGAGCTTGTGTCTTCAGAACCCAGACGCATCGCATAGTTTGACTAGCTATAATGTCCGTGTCTGAGGTGTCAAGGTTAGGATGACCTGCACTTGGTCCACGGACAACGGCTGCTGCCAAGGTCGGGCTGCGAGATGAGGCTTTATGTGAGATTGTCGCGAGACGATTCAGCGCCCCGGCGGGGATCGGTCGAACCTTCTTCGGTATTCCTTTCTACGGGGTCATGCTACCTGCTACCGGCTTTTGGGATCTGCAATTCTTACGAATGCCAGTGCCTGGTACGCCAGTTGCAAGGTGAAGACAATGCTTACGAGCCCTGAGTCTGCTCTGGACGGGCGTTTTCAGGCGCACGACCCAAAGGGTCCAAGTATTAATATGGTAGCCACTTTGTAGGTATTTGGGCCCCAAAAGTATATACTCTACCATAACTTGGACCCTTTGGGCGAGCATGTCGATATCACTGTCATCGCTTGTGGTTTCATTTGCTTCTGCTTTGTTCTGAGTCCTGAGGCCATCATATCGAAGACACGGATGCGCTTGCACTGACCAGCGCGGTCTATGCTTGCGGCCTCGTGGCGCCCCCCGATCTGGATATCAGCGGTTTCTAGAAACAAATGCTTTTCTTAGGCCGGTTTCACAGGAAGGATGCGGGGACGTTTGCAGGATTGTATGCGCGAGGAGGTTTAACTCGCTTGTGCCATTGCAAACAGCATTCAAGTATGCCTTACTTCGGTTTTCGGAATAGAACCTCAGAACAGACTCAGCAAGAACGTTTTCGTAAACTTTGCGGCACCATGAGCTAGCCGAGCACTTCCAGTGAAGCTGATTCCTACCTTCCCACATGCATAAGTGTGATGATGAAAACTCGTTACATATGCTCATATACATCTAAAATACAGGTGTTCCTGTCATGACATGCAGCTATTGGGTTCATAACCCTGAACCCTAAAACCCCGAGTTATGCAGTTATGCTGATGAGTTTCGGACCGTGTGGACCTTGAGCCTGCGGTCTGGAGGTCATGAGCCCTAAGCCCATAGGCCGCAGAGCTGTCTTTGTTTTCATCGAGAGTTGTGGGGCTTTCTTGGTTTGATACGGAGGAGGGGTTGCAGTGTTGCTTCTTCTAGCTCGGCAGGCCAGATTGAGCCGGCTTGAGTATGTCTTCAAACTACAGTGCGCTTGCCATCTGCGACCGTCCCAGCACGAATCCCGAGATCAGGATCTTGCATCGCAAGCCTCAGGCATTGATCGAGCTCTCGAAACCCAAATCGTGGAAGCCTTTCCTCCCAGATTTTACGAGCCTCGATGCTACAAATTATATCTCCAGTACGGAGTTTATGAACCAAGGGAAGGGTGGTTGATTCATCAGCGGGTCTAGGGCGTGGGGATTCTTAGTTTCCGGGTTTTGGGGAACTCCCCTAAACCCTTTTATGCCCCGAACCCTAAACCCTCCGTCGCTTCGTTGACAGCTCCTTGGAATTACCTGAGAGACCTTCATTAAGCAGAAGGAGATCGGGGTTAGTTTAGGGTTTAGGGTTTAGGGTTTAGGGTTTAGGGTTTAGGGTTTAGGGTTTAGGGTTTAGGGTTTGGGGACCCCTAAGACTCTTTGAGCGTGAGCTCGAGAATCGCCTGGTCGCCAAGAATAGCCCGGGACCCCTAAACCTCAGCTCTTCGAATCTCCGGAACCCTAAACCCTATAAGAGACTTAAACTCCTAAAGTCCTAAACCCTAAATCCTAAACCTTAAACTCCTACACCATAGACACCACAAGAGACCTACACTCCTCAACCTGAGTCCTTTCTCAGTTACTTCGACGAGCTCTTCTTCCAGAAGGTCTCCGACTGGCTCCTTCGACCCTCGACCCCTATAGGTGCGTTTTGGGGTTTAGGTTTGGGATGATGGGGTTTTTGATTTTAGGCTTTATAGTTTAGGGCTTTAGGGTTTTAGGGTTTTAGGTTTTGGGGTTTAGGTTTGGGATGATAAAGTTTCAGGGCTTCGGGTTTAGGGGTTTAGGGTTTATAAACCCTGAGCCGCAAACCCGAACCTTAAAGGGTGCGGTTTAGAGCTTCGGGGAGTTGGAGGTTCAGAGGTTTTGGGCCCAAGGGGCATACCGGTTGAGGAGTATGTGCACGGGTTGAGGCATTTGCCTTTCTTGTCCTCGGGCTTAATTACCCTGAGCATCAAAATAGCCCAAAAGCCTTATATACGCAGGTCTTTGGGCCCCAAAAGCCTGAAAATATGAGTCCTTTGAGGGTAAGGGTTAGGCATAGTTAGTTCTTTCTGCTTTCGTTTTCAGGGCTTGTAAGATTTAGAGGTCCTGGGTCTGAAGGCTTAGGGCTTACGGGTTGTACAGACGTAATACTTAATTATAGGGACCTTAATATTTCTATACTATTTGGGGGGTTCCTGATTTTGGTTATGATATAAGATACCTCCAACCCTATTCTAGTTCTTATAAGGCCCCTACATTAGAGCACGTAAGGACTGTCGGGTCTAAAGTGCGGAGGGTGATGGGGTGCGAGAGAGCCATGGACAGCTGTATCACTGGCCTCCGATCCGAAGGAAGTGCGTTTGGTGCACCAAGTGCTTCTGTCCTTAAGGGTCCATGTATCCCTATGAGCCTATGAGTATACTTTGACGGCTGAAGTACCTATATAGGTACCGCGTTACGGCCTAAGTATATACTATATGACCTTCGGGTATTGTGCCTCCTCCCGATGACTTTCCGCTTCTCATGAGTTCCGCCTGGTGCCCAACAACCACAGCTACACGCAGGCGTACCCAAACCCCAAACACCTACACCGTAAACCCCAAGCCCTAAACTTAAACACCAAAATACCCTGCACCCTCATCGTACAGACCAATCGCTATTTCAAGAAAGCTTGCATCCTGCCACCCAGAAACCGAATCCTTCAACTTGACCCTGAACCCACTTATAGCAGAAGCCAGAAAGCTGGAACATTAGTATTAAGGGTTAGGGTTTTAGGGTTTAGGGTTTAGGATTTAGGGTTTAGGGTATCCTCATGCCCTTAAGGTAAAGTAGAAGGGATCCTAGGACTAATTTTCCTAATCCCATGTTCCAACTGTCTGGGTCTCGCTAGAGGTGTTCACCCAAAGCCGGGAACCCTAAACGTACAACCAAACCCCACAGTGCCCGGAACCCTTAACCCCGAAATCGTATAGCCGTAACCTAGGTATCGATCCCAAAGGGTCCAAGTTATGGTAGAGTATATACTTTTGGGGCCCAAATACCTACAAAGTAGCTACCATATTAATACTTGGACCCTTTGGGGATTTGGGATGATACGCAATGAACTTCCCATGCTTTTTGTTAACATCGAACCACAACTATGCATTTTTTGGGAGCGGTGGACATCCGAAACCCCACCCTCCGCCGTTGATCCTTCTAAACCCTAAACCTAAAACCCTAAACCTAAAACCCTAAACCCTAAACCCAAATGGCTACGGCTCAAGCCGTGTTGCTCGAAACCTGTCCTGACTTTGCCCCTGCTCCTTAGACGCACTGCCTGGGCGATTGCATCTTGCTCCCTGGGGGCGAACTCAAGGAGTCGATTCAGGTCTCGGTCTCCTACTCGCTTCTCCGCGGGGTGATCGCTGGGTGTTCTCACTGAGGGTGTCTTCTACCCGGGCCTGAAGGACGACTTCGCTGGTCTGGACTGGAGTTCGTGGTCTTGAGGGCGACTTTGTGAACTTGCCTGGCTCGATCTGTGGGGGTTGTGATCCTGCCCCTCTACGTGGACGAAATGGCGACGGAGGACAAGATGGCAGTTGAAGTTCCTTCCCCGACGGAGCTTGCGGAGGGCGACTCTGACGCAGAAGACCCGATCGAGCCCAAGCAGGAAAGGAAAAAACGGGGAAGAAGTGCTGCTGCGGTGAGAGGTGCCCCGACCGTGCCTGGGGGTGAACTTGACGACCCGGATCTGGACAGCCCCTCCAAGAGGCCTTCTCGAAGCTCAGGAGATGACATTCCCATCACTGGGCGTGAGCTTCGCGAAATGCTTCAACAACATGCCCGAGAACTTCGTGATGCTTGGGGCACCTTCGAGAACAGGATCGTGCAAGTCGAGACGACCCAGCGGAAGCAGACGGGAGAGTTGAGCTCTTTAACTGGGAGGACGAAGATCAATGAGAAGGACATCCGTGACATCAAAACGAAGAGCGAGACGACGGTCGCCCGACTTGACACCCTTACGGAAGACGTGAAGAACTTGAGAGTTCAAGTTGAAGCTGCCACCTCCTCCAGACCTGAACCTGGTGTACATCCTGCAGTGCAAAAGTCCACCGACCCTTGGGCCGAGTTTCTTCAGAATCGTCCCAACCCTGGGGTGGGAACGCGATGGGCCTCACCTCTCTAGCTGGAGCAGGGGTCGGACCAGTGACCAATGCTCCGGGAGAGCCGACCGAGGGAAACAGCCTATCGGAGGACGAGAAGAGAACTCTGGTGATTGGAGGATGGCTTCAAGACACCAAACGGGCCACAATTGAGGCGGAGTCTCTGCCTCTCCTCCAGCGGGACGACATTAAGCCGTTCTTGGACGTGGAGATCATTTCAGTGTATGGGCCAAGGCGCAGCGTTGGGATGATCAAGTTCAAAGAACGAGCAGACGAGTCGTACGCCCAGGTGAAGGACAGGATGTGGAGAGTTGTTAAGGCCATCTCTGGGGCGAAATACATACTCGAGAGCACAAAATCCACAGGGGATGACAAGATCGCCTGGGCAGCATTCATGAAGACAAAAGCCGCCCGGATGAGGACCAGCCACATCTCGATGATCAGACGTGTTACATGTACCCTGGCGGCCGACTCCAAGGATGATCAAGGACGTGCACTCAATGTGGAGCATGCCCAACCGACGTTCTACGACATGGATTGGTCGGCGGGGACGATTTGGGGAGGTATTCATAAGCTCGGATCGGCCACCCATAGAGCTCCCAAAAACATGGAAACGATCAACATGAGTGGTGGCTGGATCAATCTGGAGGCCGTCGGACTGGTAGCTGGCTGTTCGCCGGAGACTGCGAAGGCAGCCTTCGAGCTTGAGCTGTGACAAACCAGGCGAGCAACTTTCACCCCCCCTTCACCGTCAGACGACCAACATGGACAATGTGGTGGCGTTGGGAGGACCTTTTCGAATTCAGAACGTCCCTCGCAGTCTAAGACTCGGGTGACATCACGTTCTCAGCAGTGTGCAAAACATCGCTGGGGCAAGCTGTTACAGTGGAACCTTGCAGGACAGAACATTACCAAATTGGACGTCGCAGCGATAGAGGCAGACTTGATCTTCGCCCAGGAAATTGCCAGGGATGATGCTGGGTGGGATGAAGTGGACACTGAGGCATTCCATTGGATCACGCACAGAAGCGACCAGCTTTGGAGGGGAGTGGGAATCGGCATCTCCATCGACAAGTTTGACTCCATGATCGGCAAGATCTCAAGCACGAGGGGCATTTGGCTACTTGTTCGTCTCCGAGGTCTTGGCAGAGTGGTCGTAGGGTCTTTTCATGCGCTGACAGGAGTCACCAATGCCCAATACCAACGTGCGGTTTTGCAGTTCTTTAGGACTTGCCCTCGCAAGTGGCGACAGTATCCGCTGGCCTGTGGTATTGATGCCAATGAAGTCCCCAAGTGGGTCGAACATGATGCTGATGATGGGGCGAGTTTGGGATCGTCCTCCTCCAACCTCAACTATCTCGCTGTTGAAGCAGAGAATATAGGCATGACGGCTTTGGCACCGGGAACGTCACAGCGAACTTCACCTACCCACTTTCCAAGGGACGAGCGAAGAGCAGGTAGACAAATTGACACACTATGGACACGTCATATTGACTGCAGGGCTGTTATGATTGATCCAGCTCGGCGCCACACCATCGGCAGCGACCACGCGGCATTATGGAGCGAAGTCTATGTCGTGGGAAAATCCCTTCACGAGTGGGGGAATGACTCACGCCCCAGATGGATGCTTGGTCCCCTGCCACGTGTCGAGTTGAAGTCCGCTGAAGATGTCATTACCCTCGCGAAGACCTCGACAGGCCCAAGACGACCCGTCTCCTACACGGACCCACCTGAGATCAAGGAGATGACTGCTGTCGCCCGCCAATCTGGAAGCAAGGAGGCTTGGAAACGTGTACATCGTGAACGTCGTCTCGCCCGTAGGCAATGGCAGGCCAACCGCATGAGCAGGATCCTCAATGGGGACTGGAGCCAGTATAAGTCCCTCCAGAATGACAAAAGAAGGAGACGTGGCTGGTGGGGCGGGATGTTGGAAGAGGCATCTTCCAGGGAAGTGACAGCGAAAGTACAAGAACACCTACGTGACAAGCTTACGAACCCTTTCCTCTCAGACTGGGACGAACTTCTTCAAGCACACATTGACTCAGTAAGGGGAGACCATTTTGAGCCCTTCACGCTCGTCGACATGCGGACGCAGGTGCAGAACATGAAAGTCAACAGCGCAGTGGGACCAGATGGGATTGGAGTCCACCTCCTTCGGGCGATCGCCTCGGATGACACTTTGGGCCCTCAGCTCCTCAAGGTGATCAACCACATTGTGGAGGAGTTGGATATGCCTTCAAACTGGGACGACAGCTTCCTCGCCCTACTTGCAAAAGTTGACCACCCAACGAAGCCCAAAGACCTGAGGCCGATCTGTGTTTCGTCGGCCTTCCACAAGCTCACGAACAAAATGGTCTGTGAACGGTGCATGCCACTATTACGCCATGGATCCCGTATCTCAGGATGTGGCAAAGGACGACAAGCCGCCGATGTAATAGGAGCCGTCAGCAGAGTCCGGGATGTTGTCCACGAATGGAAGACCCCCGTTCTCCTATGCAA